CTCCCTGACCACCCTCGCCAGAAATAACCTCCCTCTTCTCAGCTTCCATGGGGCTGGGTGTCTCTTCTCTGGCACTTGACACACACCCCATTCTACTGTGGCTGTTTACCTAGGGTTCTGAAATTGTGCCATGCTCTTCTTTGAACGTAGGCAGAGCAGACCCTTGGTCCAAGCTGAAGGAATGCGTCCTGGACAGCAATGATGAGAACAGAAAGTTCAGAACACGTCACTACTTCTGTGGCCGCTCTTTCTTTTGTCTGTTGCTTTGAAAAGCATCTTTCCTCGATCTGGCAATTTACCCATGGGAGGTTTGGGCTCTTCCGAACACTCCTGTGCTAACAAGTGAGGTGCTAGACAAGGTAGAGCGCCTAGCTTCCTGGTTGCTGATGGTCCACTGAGGAACAGAAGAAGTGTTTTCTGGGTGAGCTTCCTCAGCTCCAGTTCTTTGTGCCAGGACAAACTCTTGTCTCTACTGCTAAATACAGACTCCAATAACAGGCTAAGTGGTGCAGATCCTCCTGAGGCCTTATTATACATGTACTGACACACTGAACTCTTACTCTTAAAACCTATATTTCCTTCCCTTAAATATATGCTGAAAACCTTAAATTTCAGCATCATGTGTAATGGCAATCTGGTTTTATGTTTTTCCTCCCATAGGAATTCTGACCAAAAAAAAAAAAGCACAATAATAACAAGGAAGTTACTGCATGGGAGACAACTTCTCAGCTGTGTGTTTGATCGCTCAGGTGAAAGAACTCCATGGAGGCACAATGAAGAACAGTGTGTGGTACGCTGGACCCTACAGTCAGGCTTCAGACACCTTCAACCCTGAGATGTGGCCCATAAAGACCTCTTGGAAATGGGACAGTGGTACATAATAGATCGTCACCTGACAGGATCGGGAAACAGATGGCAAGTGTACCAGACAGAATATCGCCATATGATCCTATTCAAGAAAACCCAACATGGAGAGAGCAGTGTTGGGTGAGGGGCTGTTCTGAGCCCACTGAAGACGTCCCGTTTATCTGACCACGTAATACATGTGGGAATAGAGTAATACATGTGGGAAAAGAGTAGACCCTATGACTTAGGTTAGCAAGAAAGACATGACTCAAGAACATACCCACATGGGTAAGTCATTCAATAAACATATTTTCCCCAAATGTAACTTCTCGATTAAGAAGAGTCAGAAATATCAAAGCACTCAAGTGCTGGGACAAGAACATGTGGGCTGGGATGTTTAGAGGTTGGAATTCCCTACTGGGCACCTCAGTTTCTTTGATCATCAAATAGGGATAATGGAGCCTACCTCCTGTAAGAGTTTGAGTCTTGCACACAATCAAGATAAAGATCTTATCAGAGTGTCTAGAATTTCATCACCACACTATGTTCATTGCTGGGCATTGTGATTCTGTTCCCTCTTTTCCTCTCTTCCAACAACATCATTCTCCTTCTCCCCACTATTTTGTGGTAGAGCTCACTCACACCAAAGCACGAAATGACCTCCCCCTTTCTGTACATCAAATTCCCAAAGAAGTATTCTCAATCAGAAAAGTTCAAGTCAGCAAATGAAAAGCTTGACAATATCTCCTAAGAAATTCACCCACCTAACACCTGTTATTCTTTCCCTAACGAGCAATGGCTACCCTTAGAGATACAAAGAGCGGGAAACAACAAAATGTGAACAAAAGTATGTGTACTACGTACCACAGGCCTATGTTTAGGTCCATCATACGTTTTGTGAAAAGGGATGAAGTCAGGGCGTGTGTAGGTCACTGAAGGGTCTTTTTCTGTCTCTAGTGGTTCTGGATCATAGGCTAAATGCTACTCTTATTCCTTTCTTCACTTTTCAGATAGAGTAAGTTCTGAACGGGTAGGATGAGCAGGGTCTGAATGCAGCTTTCTCATTCTATAATCTGTGGCTAAACTGTATCAGGCCTAAAGTGTCACTGCTGCGGCCACATGGCACTTAAGGCTGGAACAAGCTCCCTTGTACGTGAAAGACAAGCCAGCAAGCCTTAAGGCAGGTGGACTTCCAACACTGGATGAGGGGCCTGGCACAGGGTAGGAAACAATGGACACTTCCTGTTCTCGGTGTTAACTTTAGTTACCACAGCCAGACAATGCTGCCAGTGGTGTGGAAGAAAAAATGGCTGTAGCCAGCTGTGCTATTCACAGTTGGATGGATTCTGTGTACCTCCAAATGGTGATAGAGCCAGCAGCCTGTTGTAGCCAAGGACAGGATGATGGATGGTCTACATACTGTGTCCAAGTGGAGAGAATGGCAGAAGTTCACTTCAGGGTTGTTAAAATGCTAATCTGGGTGAGTTAACAAAGCCTGATAGAGAAGAAAAGTTTGAGAAATACGAACACCTCATGTGGGTTCTGCACCCCACTGATCTGAAGGCCCTTAGTTGCACTCTGCTTGATGTTCTTTCTTTTAAGTAAGAAGTTTTAGTAGTTTTCCTGTTGGGGAGAAACAAAAACCACATCAGTGGTCAGCTACACTGCCCCTGTCATCAGGGTCTGACAGGAAAACAGCCTGACAACAGCCACCACAACCGAAAAGTGTCCTGGCATGCTTCATGGAGTCACGGGGTCTAGTGTTTCCATATGGCACAGGAACACATCAGAACACTTCTCCTCCCAACTGGAGTAGTCAGCTATTCTCAACGGCATCCTAAGGTGCTGGGTTGGGTAGATTTTTGATGCTCCATCTCTATTCATATAAGTCTCAAAGAATGCCATCTCCCACTGCTGTGACAGACCCAGTACCCAAAGGACACTGACAGCCCATTCATTAATGCTGAGGGCAGGAAGGACTTGCATTTGAAACATCAGGTGCAGACTATCTTGTTTTAAAGTTTTGTGATAAAGCAATTTGCACAAAAAAGGAGACACACTTCTATTTCTTGTCCACAGATCTGGTTTTTCAGTCAGCAGTGTTACTTAAGGCGAACATACAAAAACATATCTGGCCACAGGGTGTTGGCTCTTGGTTATAGCTCCTGGCAAATGACAGGTACTCAATGAACAGAGATGGGTTGGCATACCTCAACTGCCTCTTGCTTCCTCTAGAAATAAATCAAGGCTATGCAGGCTTAAAGACCCTTAATAGAAATAAAAGAAAATAGTTTGTCCTGCAGTGTTAGAGTAGGAGTTTGCCTCTTATGGTTGCACTAATACTGGTCAGGCATTCAGCCAAGCTCTTAGCCCTGAATAAAACGCATCAGAAGAGTGAAAAATGACCCCATTTCAGATGCATTTTTCACTCTTTGTATCTTAGTGAAACTCACATGCAAGAACAATGACTAAGCTAATTACCATGGCTCATTACGATGGAGCAGCAAGGAGAGATCCCTCAGACTCAGTTAAGTCCTCAACAATCATGGCTATCTTTCTGAATCAAAGTTCTGAATCCGAGCTACTTGCCCATGGCCTTTCAAGGAACAGTCACCACCAGACAGGATGCAGAGGCCCACTTACCCAAATCAGTTACTGGACAGTCTTCCTGTGCAGCAAGTCAGTGAACTGAAGTCCTCCGGATTTTTAAGTTGCCCTCACTCTAAGGACTAAGGCTGACGTCACAGCCGTCTTTCAAATCCATCAAACCAGGGGAGGCATGACCAGATGGTTCTGGTGCTATTAGGGGGCATCAAAATGGGGGAAGGGAGCGGCAAAATGCCCACAGATCTAAATCAAACTTGAGTTAACCAGATGTCTAGTGATGGAGATATCACAGTATTCCTGGCACATTCTCATGCATCACAGAAGGGCTCCTCAGAAAGGGAGCCTATGTAGCATCCTTGGGAGAAATGAGATGGGTACCAATATTCTATAGGATTTAATAAGAAATGCTAGTGGGTTGTTGATCTTCCTAAGAATGTCAGCAGAGAAATCTTAGGATCTTGTGTTTAACTGTCTTCTGGGTGTACATCTCAGAGACCTAACAAAAGCACCAGCAGACTGAAAAGCAAGTCTCAGTTATGGGTGAGCTGTAGTTTATCTGTAGATGTTTAGGCTCCTGGCGATACAGACCCAATCTCAGAGCTTATCTGTTATTTTTATGTGTCTAAGCCAGGGTAAACGTTTGTGTGTAATACGTGCTAGCTTGAGAGAATGAGTCTGTCACTCACTACATTAAACGCTACTAAAGACAAGTTAATTTCCTAGATACTTATCATGAATAAACACAGTACCAGAATCTATTGTTTTATACCACCAAAAAGAGAGTAAAACACTTCCTCCAGCTGTCTAAGGTTTCACAATACAAGGAAGAAAAAAGCCTTGAAGATTTTCTCCAAACGGGAGTATTTCTCCTATTCAAGGAGCAGAGACTGAACCAACTGAATAAAAACGCGTTAACTCCTTCCCTGGGACCTCAGCATTGAAATAAACAAAAGAATCTACTTTATTGCATCAAGTATCAAGTAAAGGGAGAGGGAAAAGCACTCATCTTTTGGTACTGTAGACTTAGATAGTAGCTAGAAGTTTTGAGAGGAAGAAGCCCTCGACATTTCCCTTAAGTAACCAGAAGCTGTTGATTTAAGGGAAAGAAGCCCGAGTGTCCGACGCGGGGTCCAGTTACTGTACACAAAGTCGGGGCTGGGGGTGTATCTCTAATAATGATGTGCTGTCCCACTCTGAGGATACTGGAATTGGTTACTGACCGCTCCAGTTCCTCTGGCGCTCTAACTCATACCCTACTGCAATGCCACTCCACCTCCCACCATCATCCAACCTGGCATTAAAAAAACAAAAAACCCAAGAACTAGATTTAAACAATCCTCTGTCAGCAATGGTCCTGCTGGCCGATTAATGAGAAAAATTCTAAACTCAGTTTGCATCCACACCTCCAAGTCCTTTCTGGCCTTTAATTTGGAACCTAAGAGTTAGACGTGCCACTGGGAGCTGAAAGCGCTCCCAAATCTCCCAGGGCAGCTACTGCCTCAGTTTCTACGGACGGTCATTGCAGCCGGATCTGGAAGTTTCCCTACCTGGATGTTGAGCTCGCCTTCCCTGCCGCTGCTCCCGGCTACAGGACGCCTCTGGCCACGGAAGAAAGCGGCTCATACAAAATTGACTCTTCCTTATTTGTTTCCATCCATAATTGATGGGAAGCTGAGAGCATAACACGTCTCCGGGCCGAGCCCTAGCCGACTGGCTAAGACCCTGTCCAAGGCGCTTCGGCGAATCATTTCCAGCCAGTGAACAAAGCACGCAAAGTTGCGGGGGAGAGTGGCTGGGAGCCTGGCGGGTGGGTGCCCACGGTCCCCGCGTGGACAGCCAGTGGCTCCGCGCTCCCGGGCTGCTCCCTGCGTCCCCGGGGCCGAGGCTGGCCGGGCGGCCTGGGTTGCGCTGCCGGTGGGCTGGAGGTTCCAAGCCCCGCAGTGAGGAAGGCGGTCTAACCCTGACGGTGTGCGGGGCAGCGACGAGCCGGCCCTGCCTGGAAGAAACTTTTCCTCGCGGCCCCGGGTGTCTTTCTTCCCTTAGGGGTGCGCCCGGGAGGAGGGGTGCGCCTAGGAGGAGGGCCGAGTCGCCCGCCCCGCCCCCTAGGCCGCCCACCGGCCAGCTGGGACCGGTCAACCAGACCCCCCCAGGCGCCTCGTGCACCGCTGGAGACCGAGCGGCTCCGGAGCAATGAACTCCGGTGGAGATACGACACGACGCCCACGCAAACACACGCGCCCGCCCGCACACAGCTGCGCTGCGGGCTCGGGGTCCCACCCCCCCCATCACGCACCCAGAGCGTCAGCCGAGCTTCGGAGACCGTCTTACCTCTCATGGGGAAGCCTGCTTTAAAAGACAGACAAATAAAGCTTGTCACGATCAAACGGAAAAGCCGATCAAGATAGTGTGCAGAAGGAGCAATCCCTCGGTCTCGGGTCTCGCCTTGCGATCTATCCCGAAACTCGCCAGCTCCAGCCCTGACGGCGGCCGCTGCGGCGGCGGCGGGACCCAGCGCGAGCAAAACAAACCGCTGCCCTGCAAATGGTGTAATTCGATCCATCTCCGAGTCGCTCCCCGAGAGCCCCGGCTCCCTCGCCGCTCTGCAGCTCCCACCGCGGCCAGCGCCGCCCAGAGCCCCACGCGCGCCGCGGCCTCGACCCTGGTGGCCGCCGCGGCGTCCCTGCTCGCGCTCGGCCGCGCGCCCAGGCTCTCCCACCTTAGCGGAGCCGCTCCTCCCGCGCCTCCTGGAGCCGGGTCGCCCAGCTGGCGCCGCCTCTGTAGCCTGCAAAGCCGCCTCTCCCCCTTCCCTCCCTCTCCCTTCCTCCAGGCGCCCTCACTACTCTCCCAGCCGCCCCCAGACGTCCCGAGGACAAATCGCTGCAGCCCAGTGTTGCCGTGGGCACAGTTGTACCCCGAACTTCAGTCTTAGTTTTCTAGTCGGAAGATTTATATTTGAGCTCATTCTTGCAAGCCCCCTCCCCCGTTTATCTTTGTAACCACTAAGCAAAACAGCTGGGGAGAAGCAATCAAACAGAGCTGTATCTTTAGAAAATACAGAAATTGCCTACTAAAAATCTTATTTCCACTTTGAATGAAAGCCATTCAGTACAGTATAATTTTGCAGGCTAATGAGCCGGTTTTTACAGGCAAGTGTTTCGTTTAATACGTTGTGGGAGAAATGAAAATGTCCTTGAAGCGACACCATTTAAGATGGACTGTCATAAATGAAATAAAAAAAATCATAGATTCCCCAAACAAGAGGATTTTAATTCAAAGTTTATTTCCAAGAACGGGCTATGTTTATTAGTTTGCAATCTAATCATGTATCACTTAAGGATTCTAACCGCCTGGAATCAACCATGGTGCCCCCGCTTAAAGAGAGAAAGAGCATTTCCGCCAAACTTTTGGTTTTCGCTTGAGTGTAGTTAATTACCGTGGAAAGAGAGTCGGGCCACGCAGGAGGCATATTCTTGTCCGCAGTTCTCCCCGCTTCTCTCCCGCACACAGATATATGTTTACGTTTAGGAAGAATGTGCCCTGGAGTTGAAAAGGAACTCCAAAAAGACACCCCGGTTAACACTTGGTAGCCAAAAGCAAGCCCCGAGAGAATGGGCAGCCTTTTAAAAATTCAAGCTTTTCCCGCTGTCCCTCCTATAACAAGAAAGGGGTAGGGGGCGGAAAGAGCAGCCTCGGAGACTCGCTCCGTGGTGTCTCTGCTAAGTCTTTTGTTGCCCGGTTGGCTGGTGTTTTCTGGTTGTGCTGGGCTCTGACATCACTGCGAGTTCCTTGGCAGTCAGGGCCCTCCCCTAGCCAACTTCTGACCCAGAAAGCTGTGGCTGTTTCCTGGCCAGCGGTCATTTCTTTTTTTCCTGCCCTGCAGGCAGAGGGTACTGGGCACTGCATGAAGATGAAAAGAGTGGGGGGCAGGGGCAGGTCTACTTGGTTGGTGAGCAAGCCAGTCACCAGCCACCTCAAAACAGGTTTGTGAGTTGTCCCATGTCCGCAGTAGCAGCAAAGGTTCATTTCTCCAGATTTCCTGATTAACTCTGCCCCCACCCCCCACCCCCACCTCACTTTGTAGCTCAAGCTGGCCTGGAACTCACCAGGCTGGCCTCAGACTTGAGGGAATCCTCCTGCTTCCCCCTCTGGGAGTGTTGAGATTACTAAGGGTGAGTCACCTGGCTTAGATTGGGTTCCTAAACAGGTGAGCAGTTTTACAAGGACAAAAACACCAGAGATGACAGTTTTACCCCAGACTGAGTCCTTAGATCCAGGAATAACAAGGAACAACGGTCTGCTGGGCGCTGGAGAACGTTCCGATGGGCCCTTGGGAACCATAAATTACATGTTTTCACTCTAAATATCAGTCTGGATCTTGGGATCATCCTTATGTGTTTGCTCTGCTGGAGGCCAAGAAGCCAGAGCATGGCATGGGAAGAAAGGTCAAAATCTACTCTTGGGTTTGTTTGTCTTGGTCCTGGTAGGGAACGAAGAGAGGAAAATGACACTCTTGATTTGGTCTTTAGTGGAAAGAGACCCACGCAAACCACTCAGGCAGTGGCCACTGCTGTGGTTCACCCGATTCCCGTCTGCACTGTTGACTTTAAACCAGTCAACCTTTTAACCCGGTTGACTTCTGCCGATTCTCCATTCTCCCCACCCACCCTCTGTTCCAGGCACTGACACCGGCTGGATGCTCTCCGTGCCCCATAGAGCACACCCTCCTGATGTTTCTGCTTTCTGTGGCACCCTATAACGTGGCTGCTTGGTTTCTTGATTGAGCAGTAATTGTTGAGGTGTCAGATTTCCCCAGACCTGCGAACCCTTAGTACAGAGTGACTGTCTTCTGTGCTCCAAAGTGTTCTTCATGTTTGTTCTGTTTGGGATATCTCCCACCTGAACAGGCCGTCATGGAGCAGGGTTCTTGCCCCTTCCTTACCTGCACAGGCCTGGTGCCTCCCTCGCACGGGGAAACACACTCAGTAAGTACTTGTTGAGCAGATATGACACTGGAGCCTGCAACATTCTCATACTCTCTCTCTTCTGGGCCAGATAAGAGAGGGTTGTCATTGCTGTATTATGGAACCCTCCATAGTAACGGCTTCCTTACTCTGTATACTCTGTATCCCAAGATCTCACAGTGCCCCTGAGAATATTTGTTAAATATTTGTCAGTAAGAGAATACAGGCACTTGGCTCTTTTTATATCCGTCTGTGCCCCCCACCCCCACCCCAGCTTTGAAGGCTAGATTCTACCTGGTTAGCAAATACACTTCAGTATTCTCTGCCTGGTTTCCCCATCAGTGGTAAGTAATAACTCATTTCCAATTGAATTGTAAGTATAATAGCTATCTAGAATCTACAGAAAAATCTCTGTATGATTCTTAGTAAAGTGTATCAATCGTCAGAAAGTGCAGTTTCTTAACCATTACAGCTATTAAACAAATACCATGCTTAACATGGGCCAAGCTGTTCTAAGTACTTAAAAAATATTAGCATGCAGCAATTCTATGAGGCAAGTACTGTTATTAACACCATTTTAAAGGCGAGGAAGCTGAAAAAGAGAAATTTCAGGGATTTGGTTAATGTGACACCTGTAACTAAGATTTGATGTTCCCTCATACTTAATGAGGTCTGAATAGCAAGTGCCAAGAACAAAGTTTTGGGACTTTATACAGTTCGCATTCAAGTTCAAACACAAATCTGTGATTTGGATAACTTATTTAACCTCAGCGGGCTTCAGTCTCCTTATTTGCAAAACAAGGATGACAATGAAACTTTAAATGGCTTCTGTGGTAGACTGGACACTATGACACACACATGTGATGTGTTTAGCCTCTTGCCAGGAGTACAGCAGGCCCTGAGTAGACACCAGGGTATGCTTTTCCAGATGCCAGGAAGGCAGTGACATCTTGGGAGGCCACAGGATTGGATGAGATACTTCTTCCACACTTAGAGCCAATGTGAGACTCAGGACTTGATGGGTATGTTATAAATTTTTCTTCACTTCTATCCCCACCCCTCTATCCATGTGATATATCTCTTAATTGAGGTGTACATACTGTTATCCAATCGATAGGAATGACACTGTGCACGAATTTTCATGAATCATATAGTGTAGGATGTAGAATCCCAGGTTTCAAAACATAAAGAGGAAGGCACTGGAATTTCACAGAGAGAGATATTTTCTCTGAGGACTTCAGTTTGGAGTGCACATACCCTATTCCTTGCATTCACACATTATGGAATGTGCTTTTGTGGCGAGGAATTGCTTTCAGAACTAATCTAAGCTCTCCATGACACGATAAATCATTAATAATATAGACCCACATCTCTGCATCTGCATAGACACAGCTGGCCTCCTTGTGTCAAGAGTTTGCATATGAAAGTGACTCTGCCAAGATATTTCATTTTAATGAAAAATATTTATCATGCTAAATCTTAAGCTTCAAGATTTTACTGGCATAATTCATTTCTATTGCTATGGTCTCCGCTAGTGGAGCACATAGCCATACCCATATTTGGAATAATAAAAATGTGCTTTTTAAACTTATTTTGATTCCTGTTCTACCTTAGCATGGATATTCTCTGCCACTCGCTCTGTGTAAAGAAAATGCACCATGTATTTTTTGGAAATAATCATCAGTTACTTATCAGCTTTTACTATTGCCTTCACAGGAGTCACATTATGGACATTGCTGTGTTCGAGCCAAAGAAAACGATGCAGGTTTTCCAAAAACCATGTCCACCAGACACATGCACAGCCCTCAGCTTTTAATACTATTAGGTCCTTTGCAGACAGATGAAAGATGAACACATGCATCATTATATCTGAACATTATGTGTATCCTATCATCCATACAACTGCTCTGAGCCATTTGTGAGCTATAAGGAAAAAGACTTATTTAAACCCATGCAAATCTATAATAAAATAAACCTCGTTGTTTTTAGGATATAAGTGTCTGCATTAATGGTTAGGGTCACAGGATTGTGTTTCTCCAGAACTCTTCAGCATTGCCAAGTTCTCTCCATAGAAAAGAGTGGCTGGCCATTAGAGATACAAGAAGTGATGCAGTGCCAGAAGCCGCTAGAGCCACCTACTGGCTAAAAGCACAAAACAAAACAAATAAACAAAACAGAATAGGATTCTGGGTAATTTATCCCTTTCCAAATAAAGACTCTCCAAATGCATGCTTTGCTTTTTTTTTGTTTTGCTTTTCAGTCAGGGCGTACAATAGATAGTTTACAAACATCAAATATATGGAGTTATTATAAATTACACTGCTAAAATGTGAGGGAGGCAAGGCATTC